ACTTTTTGGGTGTTTTGTATGGAATTTATTTTCACTGATTTTTGACGAGTTGAAGGTAAAATATGGGGAAAAGGTATATTCACTGGATTTTATTCTCACTGAATCACCCATCAAGCGAAAATAGCGAAAATTAATTCCAAGCGAAAATAAAGTATTCCACAGTATGTGATTTTGGTTTTCAGATATGGGTCTCATATAAACAAAGATTGCGATTTTGACCGTCGCGCAGATCAAGATCAACGAGTACGAACTGATTCGATACAAAGCCTTCATAAAGTATTTTTTTTTAGGTGACTGGAAGGTGTCGATGGAATCGCCTGCGGTGAATGCAAGTCGCGCCCAGGTCAAAACTCATACTTTGTGATTTCCATTAGAAGCCTGAGAGCGCATTGGATTGTGGGAAAATCAATGTTTATCAACACAAATATTGCACATGCGCGGCGCGACGACCACGGCTCTTAAAAGAAAATCTGAAATCTTGTTATGCTGATTATATCAAATAAGGAACATTGAATGATGACGAGAAAGGGAAAAATTACGTACGCACGGGCAACTTAAAAAAACACATAGATCTTGAAAATTATTTAGAAATAATATAAAACAAATCCCAAGAATTGGTCTTCAATTACCAACTTAAGAATAAGTACACATATTTTGTACATTGAAACTCACAAATACTCAAATGCATACATCACCAATGATACAGATCTTGTAATAATTTATGACAAAATTGAAGATGAAACATTTCCCGTTACACTGTAATGGTTACCAAACAGACAGATATAGATTGATTGACGAACTTAAACAGCTATATCTATAGTGAAATAAAAAAAGCAATATTTTGAGAATACAAAACAACACAAACAAATAATATTTGAGGTAGGTAGATTTAAGACAGCTAAAATTGTTTTTTCACCCCTTTTCACCCCCAGTTCCCTCTTTTCAGCACAAATTCACAAACTAGTCCCGTTTATAGTCTGCACATTCCTTCAGAAGATTAGAACAAAAAACAGGCAATTTGTTTTGAGTAAAAACTTAAATGTATTCAAACTTTGTCTGTTGGCTCCAAAATTAGGGTTCCTTTCCAGAAATATTGATGAATATAAGAAAAAAAGTGCAGACAAATTTACCACCAACAAATATTGTGGTGAAAATGTTAAAACAGCACCAGCTGTCTCCTGATATTCACATAATTCTGCATTTCAGTGATATACATTTATTGTACTTGTTTTGTGTTTCCCTGTATATTGAATATATTATATTCCTAAAATTCATATTATCGCTCAAAAAAAAAAAAAAAAAAAACTTTGGGAAAAGCGAAACAAAATCCTAGTAACATTTCTCAATGAATTGAACTGTCATTTGTAATATACATGTCATTATCAAATACTATTCAGATGAGCATGTAGGAATATCTAAAAATAGAACAACAAACGGCTGTGATTTCCCAAGCTTAAAATTCCGATCTCGGCGCTTGTAACTTGGAATGCGCCGTGATTTTGAATTGTTCGGCGTAACTATCGTAGGTGGCGCTACACCGACACGGGACGCTGTGATATTTTCGATGAAATTCGTAGCTGAACTCGCGCCATAGCCTGACAAGGTCGCGTGAATTGCGCCCTCCGCGGTGCTCCAAACCCAACACAGTGTCATGTCAGTAAAATATAGGTTTTTATACTTTACAGATAAAGCAAATTCCTAATTACATTTTTATAATGTATTGGGTAAGTTGCGTTTAAGAATCAAAATTGGAAATTGCGTACGAATTGCGACATTTAATGTGGAAAGTGTTTTATACGCTTACAAAAAATAAGATCATTGTACAAATTACGGACGAATAAAATAGCTGATTACATTTTACACCTTGCCCATGTCTACGAATTTACGTTTTTTATTTATTTAAATTACATTATTACGAAAATAAAAATAATTGATTACAGCTTATAAAAATACCCCCTGCCGACCCTGATATACCACTCTGTAACCAGATTCGTTCATTACAATCGCCATCCAAATGTGTATATCACGTTCATTTGGTTAGTTAGTGAGTATACGGTGATTGGGTGAATCATCAGCCAACTTCCAATGAGCCTGATGACGTCATCGGATAGAATGTCACGCGCACCGAAGTAAATTCACAAATTGTCGAGAAGGATTGTGCATTTCGAGGAATTAGTCGATGTATTCGCCCTACGGACAAGTACACACTACCAGTTGTTTAAAGGGCGGCAGTCGTCGTGCCGCGTTCTGTTCGATATGGGACTCATAGCGACGTTTACAACGCGTGTAAAATACATTGTTTATTTACATGAAATTCGCTTTAAACCATAGACTAAAAAAACTGTATAGTGCATTATCGGACATATTCATAATTAATTGGCGCTTTCATTAGAACGTGACACGTCATTAATTTGTAATTGCAGCTTTTTACCCAGTTGTCAGAGCAGTTCCTCTGGATATCTCGACGTATTGTTGCAGCGAGTGTGTTATCCCAGTGGCGCCATTGTCACGTCATTCTCGCTATTCCTGAAAATTTACTGCGCCCTCATCGACGGAACCAGATACTACCGTTTTCCGTATTTCCGTTATGCGGAATAGAATTGAACGTTATAACTTCGCTTGTACTGTGCTTCTATTCTAGAAGAAAGTATTCACGAGTATCTCATTATTTCGCAATCTAGACCAGGTGGCTCATTTTTGCACATGAAATTAGAATTTTCACTGGCTTTTTAAAAAGAAAATAAGTAATTAAAGCGGGGGAGTCGTCACCTGCGGATGCGTCAGATGGCCATAGCGTGTCATTGTTCACAAACAAGTGTCTACCCATGAGCCTTTGCGTTTTTAGATTGTGTTGTTATCGTCGGTTGGGACTCAATTCCCGCGTGCGCAGGTGACGACCATCCCGCTTTAAGCCAAAATCAGAAATTCAAATTCGGTGATAAAAATAGCCCACGCTTCTACACAAGTCCATTTTCGGATATTAGTGTCACGTGGTAATACGAACCAGTTGAGCAAGGCTAACCGAGTCGTGACCTCGATGTGGTTCGTAACCAGTCTTGTGATTGGTTGTTGACAAATGCTGAACAGGCCACGCCTCCAACTGTGCCGTGCGTTCGGGCAAATCGTTAGGAATTCCTAAATGGAGTAAATTTGTGTAGTTTTCTTGATTTATTCTGCAGATATCGGTAAAATGTAGGTAAGGCTTTGGCGAAATTTGAAGAAGCAACTAATATTCTTCAACCTGGTATTTTTTTTATATTTTATTTTTCATTCTTTTCGTCTGTTTTTTCGAGTTTAAAAAATGTGAGCTGGCTGGAGCCTTCATCCCTTGTCTATTTCTTACACTAGATACCAGCCGATACCCCCCCCCCCCCCACCGTTCATAGAAACTGCGTATTACAGTTGATTATAGTTCCTGGGCTCCCTGTGATATAACTACATAGTGATGACTAAATCTCATCGAAATACTGATTTAGATAAAAATGCTCAAATCAGTAAAGAGGGGAGTAGTTGGTACGGTTTTACGGGAAATAAAAAGGGCGTTTTACAATTTAAAAGGAACAAAATACGTTTTTACAGTTTACAGTGTTAAAAAAAGGAACATTGAATGGTCCGAAGAGCTCTCCAACTCAAATTATCCACCATTGCTGCGCCGTGTGTAGAGATCCACGCGCATATTACCCTCGTAATGCTCTTCATTCGGTTTGAGGGCCTTTTACGTCTTGACATTCAATTTTGTAGTGAATTTGGTCATGTAGTCGTTTTACAGTTTCTATATTGTAATTTCCCTGGATTATTCTTTACGATTTTTTTATTTGGATGTAAATCCTTGTACGTACCGAGAAAAATTACACATTTTTACATTGTACGAAAAAAATATTTGATTGATTACGTTGTACGTCTAGCTTGTGATTACAGAATTACGGAATTTATTTTTTTCAATTTACGTAGTACGAACAAAAAAAATATTGCAATTACGTTGAACGAAAATAACCCTTACCCCCCCCCCCCCTCAGTAAAAGATTCGTAATTCTAAAACTATTTTTTTTGAGGCATACACACCTGTAATGTCTGTTTATTTACAGGCATGATTCACAAATAACTCGGTAATCATTGGTTCAATCTATACAATTTCAGTTTATTTACGTCATACCACATAAAGAAATTGTCTTTATGCCGTATTGCCCCCAGGCCAATGTAAAAGACAACCACCAACTGAAACTACATTAATGGCATATTTATCATACTGTTTAATTATAATCATTAAATCAAAATGATAATGAACACATCATTTTTCAATAATTGTAAAGATATGGCAATATGTCAGGTCACGTGACGTGTACTTTTGCCTGTCAAAGACGTTATACAGTTTCTAAAGATAAATAATTTTATATTGACATTTTCTAATTTCCATATATGCTAATTGGTGGAAAAGATATCGAATATTCACTAAAACTTGTCTTGCTCTCGATAAATAACTTGAAAAAATGACATCATGTATTTAAATACTGCAATCAATAATTGTACTTACATCACAGTTACATCATAGCCTAGTGGTAGATTGTGTGGAATGAAAGAGAACATCAAAAACATCCCTATTTATACTTAAAGTATCATCACTTGATCATAAAATATATAATTGAATTTACCTTCCGCACAAAAACTCCACTTATTTTAACGCGGATTGACTACTTCTTTATATCAAAACATTTGAACGGTTATGTCAACAAGTGTGCCATCATTCCAGCTATTTTAACGGATCATCGTGCAATATGCTTAAATTTCAATTTCACGGGAATGAATAGAGGGCGGGGTGTTTGGCGTCTTAATACTAGCATTTTACAGGAACAATCTTACAAAAACGAAATTGAAAATGTGAAAGTTTAATTCGATGGCATTTCACCACAGCTGTTCCTCGAAATCTGTAAAATAAGAATCAAAGAATTTTCTATCTTTTATACGCAAACAAGAGCAAAAAAAACCCAAGGAAAGACAGAGAAATGTTTGAGAGAGAATTACTTCGTCTTGATAAGCTAATTGATGATAGTTTAGATGTTAACATGTTGAATGACTACGAGAGAATTAAGTATCAATTAGAGGATTTTTATAAATACGAAGCTAGGGGAGCTCAAATACGTGCGAGAGCAATGTACTTTAAGGAAGGTGAGAAGGCAACTAAGTTTTTCCTGAACCTTGAACGTAAACGACGTTGTAATGACGTCATTACTAAGCTGAATATATCAGGAAATGACATCACGGGTAATGGTCCAATTTTACAGCACTCTGTTGACTTTTACACAAAATTGTACACTTCAAACAATCAAAGCATACAAACTATATCAGATACCTTGATGACATTCAACACTAATAATGATGACGGTATGCTTTTGAATATAACTTCAAAGTTGGTGTACACAAATTTGACCCAACAACAAATTGAAAAACCTTATGTTGAATATGAGTGGTCTAACAAGTATGACATACCAGCTGAATATTGGAAACATATTTGGGGGAAAAGATGTATTTACACTACTTATGACAGAAAACTGTCAAATTTTATATTTAAATTTATTCATTGTATCTTGCCAAATGGATATAATCTGTACAAATGAAAAATACGAAACACATCATTCTGTGATAAGTCTCCATATATTCTATAATTGTATTGATGTACGGAATTTCTGGGGCAAAATCAGATGTTTTATCTTTATATACTTTGGCACTGACGTAATGTTAAACATGAGAACATTTATTACCGGAACAAACATATTAATTATCGACCAAATTCTAACTATTGTCATGTACTCCCTCTTTAAGAGATGGTGCCAAAATAAATGTGACCCAAAAACGAATTTTGCTTTTTTTATGTCCCAGCTCAAAACAATCATTAATAATGAACTACGTCTAAATTATGAAAAGGCAAGTAGGAAATGGACAGCATCATTAATGATACGGTTGAACCTGTATAAAGTGTTCTTCTGCAGTGTATAAAAATATTATTATTTAAGTAATGTATTGAACTGATATGACGATAATAAAAAAAAAAACTCAGGATAATTAGTAAATGTACTCTTTGTTTAATTATTCAATTATATTTTATGAATAAATATATGTAATTATAGATCGTTTATGCGCGTAAAATTAAAACCACTGTATCACCAATGCATTACAATTACCAAAATATATATCATCATCTTTCAGTAATCATTTGAGTTATTTTGAAACCATTCATCGTATAGAGGATTTTTTTTACTGATTCTTGTAGAACATACACGAGAATAACGTAATTATTCAACAAGTTAATAGCAAGACAGTCAGTCAGTCAGTCGGTCAGTTAGAATAAAAAAAATAAATAAAATATATAATTTAAATTACTACACATAATCAAAGGAGGAATATGTTCTCTTTAATTATATGCAAGTAGATCATACACATCCGGGCATTTTTGTTGCTTACTATTTTAAAACGCCACATTTTCAGATTTATACTGGTACGTGACTCATATAGCGACCTCACAGTGACCCGTATCACAGCCACCCAAACCAATAGAGGAGGAACACATTCCAGTTCCAGAATCACCTGTAAGTTAGCTATTTTATTTTCACAGTTATTTAAAACTATGCGAAGGAGCTGATTTTTTATTAGTGACCTAGAAAATGATTTTCCCTAAACATTTCAGACCTTGGTCTGCTACTACAGTTTGTTAGAGATATATCTCTGAATTATTTTAGACATCATGGACAGTTGTTTCGCGGTTTACTCATTTAGGCCATACTTTTGATGTAATACTAATCATTTATACATACGTGGCCCACATCATGTAAACATTGAACAATAATTTTGGGAACACTTATGTTAGTGAATGAATATGTATGTTATCAATGACAATTTCTATAAATAATTATTCATCAACCCAGTGCATGTTAACCTACATAAATCAACATACATTTTATTAACATCTTTGGGGATTCCTCAGAAACACGTGTAAATGTTTTGGATGTCCAGTCACTGTTTTTTGCTTTTTTTTCACAGTGATTTAGCAAATAAACTACGTCCAAACATTTTGTTGTTGTTGTTGTTGTTGTTGTTGTTGTTGCTGTTTTTTCAATCAAAATGGCGGAAAAGATGAAAGCAAATAATTGAAACGGGGTCTGTAAAATTCCATATCGTTTTGCTACTGTAATAAACAAGGTTATGGTATCGACATTTGTTACATAAATCGTTTAAGAATATATGAAGACAGAGAATACATCGTGTAGCTTATATTCCATGCATTTTTTTTTTTTTTTTTTTTTTTTTTTTTTTTTTATTCACATATTTCCCTCCCAAAGGACATTACTTCAAAATAATCTTACATGTCAAAAAGATATACATAAAGGTAATTAACAACATAAAATGAAGCAATATTAGAAAAAGAAA